AGAAGGGAGTCTCTGCCTCTTCCACCTCAATTAGGATTGTCCGTTGTTGCAGGAGTTCCTCTTATCCAGTTTTCAGTTCTGTCTCAGGGGTAATTTTCTACGAGTAGTTGTAAATTGGCTGTGTTCGCCGGAGGAGATGAGTTCAGAGTCTGCTTATGCCGCCGTCTTGACTTCCCTCTCCTGCTCTGGTTTTTCTGAAGTAAGTGTTCAGAATTTTTATTGGAAGCCAAACTTGTATATGTATTGTCTATGGTTATTGCTGAGTTTTGGGCAGTGGAACGTAACTTCTGAGGAGAGTGTGCTTTCTTATCTACAGGATCAGGGTAGTGATCTGGTACCCACAAATGATTATAGAAACAGAAAATGTTGGTAATGAGCAAATGTATATTTGTTGAACAAATGTCAGAGATCAAAGAGGTCTTAGAGATAGTGTTGGTCATTCATTTTGTCAATGAATGTTTTCTCACTGCCTGCTACCTGTCTGGGACTATTCTAGAGGTGCAGTAGTGAATATGGCAAAGTTCTTGCCCTGGAGCTTACGTTGCAATTGGGATGGGTTGGGAGAAGAGATGGACAATGAACCATGGATGATGAGAAGGAGAAAGTTGTTTGAAGATATAGGGGATAAGCATTACTAGCATAAGAACAGCAAAAGCAAAATTCTTGAGGCAGGAAGAAGCTAAAAAAAAAAGGCACTGTATCTGGAGCATAGAGGATGGACGGAGGCTAGGGTTAGGAACTAGAGAGATAGAGAGGTAATCACTGGCTAGATTAAGGAGGTTCTTATAGGCCATGGTAAGGATTTAAGATATTTATTCCTTTTATAAAGAGAAACCATTGGAGAAATTTAAGCAGGAGGATAACATCTGAATTATTGCTTTATAAAGATTGCTTTAACTGCTATATGGAGAATGTCTGTGTTGGGGCGGGGAGTGGAGGAGATGGGGAGTGCAGAATGGAGACTTTTAGGAGGCTATTTTATTGGTCCACTGTGGCGATGATACAGATTTGGACTAGGGTTTTAGTGGAAATGGTGGGATGCAGTCAATTTTAAGGTATGTTTTGGAGCTTGAGTTGTCAGGACTTACTAATGGTTTGGATGGGTTGTATGATGGAAAGAGGTGGATTAGGAATGATTCTTGGATTTCGGTTTTTGACTTGGGCAGCTGGATAGTGCCGTTAGCTGTGAAGGGGTGTGTGAATGGTGGGGAGAAACAGATTTGGAAGTGAAGATAGTTTGGTGATAGATAATTGTTTTTTTGGTGTTAAATTTGAGATGGCTTTTAAAAATCCAATTGGAATTGTTAAACAGTAGCTGGATATTTGAGTCTAGTGCTCAGGAAAGTGCTTTGAATTGTAGGTATAGGTTAGGAAGTCATCACTATATAGATGGTATTTTAAAGCCATGGGATTAGATGGCATTGCTTGGTGAGAGAGCATTGGTAGAGACGAGAAGAGGTTTTAGGAATATTTAGAAAAAAGAATAGAGGAGGAGATCCCAGAAAGGAGATTGAGAAGGCATGTCAGTGAAAGGATAAAAACCACATTAGTGTGGTATACTGAGGGTATATTAAACCATAGCAAATGCTATTCTTAGGTGGAGCAAGGTGAATGCAAACTATTGCGAGCTGAGGAAATGGAAAGGAGTTTTGCTGGGAAGTGAGGCAGAGAAATAAGATGGTAGGTAGCTGGAGGGAAATGTGTAGGTAAGGACAGGTTTTTTGAAGTTGTGTTTATATACCTATGAGAATGATTTAGTAGAATGGGAGGAATATATGATTCAGGGGAGGGATAAAAGGGAATACTTGTGGCAGTAAAGTTCTTGAGACAACAAGAAGGATTGATTATGGAAAAGAGCTTGAAACACTTTTTCCATTGTTACAGGAGGGTGCACAGAGTAGGAGTTACAGATGTAAGTAGGTTGGTTGATTTTAGCAGGAGAAGGGGAAATATTTCTCTGTTTTTTTCTGTGAAGTGTGTAGTCAGGTCAGCAGCTGAGAGTGAGGGGTGGACATCTGAGGAGAGGAGAAAGTACGGTTCTCACACATAGTTATTTTGGAGAATAGAAAGTGATTTTTTGGTGGTGGTGACGCTGGTGAGGAGGATAGCTTTAGTGGTGTTATCTAGCAGTATTTATTGAGTGCCCAATGTTATGTTTGTGGTTATATAGCTAACCTGTCTAGCCAGCACAGCTTTGAGATTTTTCTCTGGCAGTGTCAGCTTCTTGGGTATAGTCATGGAGTAATTGGATAGTTGGGTTTATCCAAAATTGAGTTTTTCTGTATTAGTTTAATTGAGAAAGAAAGGTACAAAGGAGTTATAATTCAGTCCTTTCATTTTATGGTGAGACTTCTAAGATGAATACTGTCAAACACTTAAATATTTTTGAATGAATAAGGAAGCAAAATTTTGGGTTTTCTTAAATACTCATCTATCGTTGGGGCAATGTTAATACAATTGGATTACTCTGTGGTTTATGTACCTTAAATATCTAATTTCCAAATAAATTTGCTTCTGGTTTTGTAATTCTGTTTCTTAAGAAGTAAATCTGGTGTAATCTTCCTGCCATTTTTTTAAAGGTCTGTCTATGATGGTGAGGAACATGGACGATTCATGGAGAAGCTTGAAACTCGCATCCGCAATCATGACCGAGAAATTGAGAAAATGTGCAACTTTCATTACCAGGGCTTTGTGGACTCTATAACTGAACTGCTGAAAGTGAGAGGAGAAGCCCAGAAACTTAAAGTAAGGAGACGCTAAGAGAGACTTGTTTCTCTGTCCTGTGCTGGGGTTTTGATTAGCGTTAAAGGAGTAGGGAATATGTTGCAGGTTACATATTTGTAGTAAAGATTTTCATATAGTAAGAAAGGAATTTGTACTGAAACATAGATGTTTGGGATTATGGCTTTAACTAAGAAGAAATCTCTTTTAAGTTAAAATTTATTTGAAATAACTATATGTGGATGAGAACCAGTAACAGAATCAGTAACAGTTTCTTTCAAACAGAAACTCAGTTGACTCTTCATGTCATCCATCTACTTTCTTGCTAGATAAAAGCCATCACTGTAGGATGACAGAATTGCAGGGCAAGCTGCAGAAGTCTTAGCCAGCATGACAACCTAAGACAAAGGGAAAAAAATCAGTGATAGTTGTGGAGTGTCTTCCACCAAAGCATGAAGATTCTTTCTTGATATGACAGATTCAAGTTCAGGAAAGAGGCTAGCCATGTTAGTCTGGTCCCTGGCACAGCAAATTCACTTATCTTGGATAACTTACTTTGCTTATTGATCTTAAATCTGACTGCTTCACTAAACTCTTCTAGTATTTCTAATAATTTGTGTGTAGATTTTTTTTTGAGTTTTCTATGTAAACACTTGTACGATCTGTAGGTAATAGCAGCTTTATTTCCTCCTTTCCAGTCCTTTTGCTTCTAATTTCTTTCTTTCCTTTTCTTTTCTCTTTCCTTTTCCTTTCCCTCTCCTTTTCTTTCCTTACCCTTTCCTTTCCTTTCCTCACACTTTCCTTTCCTTTCTTTTTTGTCTTATTATTGGAATTTGAATTAAAATCCCAAAAGGATTTTCCTGGGGCATGGGGTAACTTGCCAATAAGTATAAAATTCATATAAAATAATACATTGGTAAGAAAAGCAAAGAAACAATTTTATTGAGGGGTGAAGTGGGCTATTAGATGTTAAATTACATTTTAAAGCTACAGTGATTTAAAAGCTAATTTGATTGCAAAACCTGACCTCAATGGACATGAAGCTATCAAACTTCTTAATATATTTTATTTAATGTAAATTTTTGTATTTTGCTATAGAAATATTAATGTGTTTGATTATGGAATGCTGTTTTAGTGCCCATTGGGGGATGTTATGTAATATACAATATGTACCATATTATCTTTATAAAATCTCCAAAATTCTGAAGTCCAAAACACACTGGGTCCCAAGGTTTCAAATAAGAGTTTATGGACCTTTACAACAACTATCCAACCATCTTAAGAAATATAATATTGCCAGCACAATTAAATCTTTCTTTTGTACCCTTCTCAGTTGCTTCCTTCACCCTCCTCTCTAAAAATAACAACTCTCCTGATTTGGTGTTAGTGTTCTATAATTTTAATTGAAATTAAATTAGATCCCTTTTTCATTCAACATACCGAAATTAATTTCAAATGGACTAGAGTTAAATGTAAAAAGTTAAACCATAAAGAAACTGGTAGAAAACAGTTGAATATTTATGTGATTTGGGGAGTGAGGAATACATTTCTAGCCAGAAATTCCTAAGCCAGAAAGAAAAAAATTGATAGATACGATGACGTTAAAATGAAAGAAGCTTTTCTACATACAAGTTAGAAACTAACAGGTAAATAATAAATAAGAAATATTTACAAATACATATGACAAATGATTGATAGAAAAAAATCTTTACAAATTAATAGGAAAATGTGAATACTCTAATAGAAAACTGAGAAATATTAATATACAGTTTACATAAGAAGAAATACAAGAGTACTCTACAATTTAGAAATAATTAAGTGAATGCAATTTTTTTTTTTTGTGAGGAAGATCAGCCCTGAGCTAACATCCATGCCAATCCTCTTTTTCCTGAGGAAGACTGGCCCTGAGCTAACATCCGTGCCCATCTTCCTCCACTTTATGTGGGACGCCGCCACAGTATGGCCTGACAAGCGGTGCATCGGTACACTCCCGGGATCCGAACCCAGGCCACCAGCAGCGGAGCACGTGCACTTAACCTCTACACCATGGGGCCGGCCCCAAGTGAATGCAATTTTAAACAATAAAGTGCCACCTAATAAAATCACGAAGATGAAAAAAAGATATTTAAGGTTGGAGATGATACCAATTAACAGGGGAATGCCTGGATGGAGTGTAGATTGTTACAACCTTTGAGGAGAGCAATTTTGTTTATCAGTACTTAAAACTCCACGTAGTTTTAAGATTTATTCTAAGGCTATAGGTGCATGGACAAGGATGTTCATATGATTTTTTTTTTTTTTTGTGAGGAAGATTAGCCCTGAGCTAACACCTGTTGCTAATCCTCCTCCTTTTTGCTGAGGAAGATTGGCCTGGGCTAACATCCGTGCCCGTCTTCCTCTACTTTATGTAGGATGCCTGCCACAGTGTGGCTTGATGAGCGGTGCATATGTCTGCACCTGGGATCCGAACCCGTGAACCCTGGGCCACCAGAAGCAGAATGTGCAAACTTAACCACTACGCCACCGGGCCCGCCCTCATATGATTTTTTTTTTAATAGGTAAAACTTTAAACTGTCCCTAAAACTCATTTAGTAGAGAATTAATGAAATAAATCATGGTACATCCACTTAAAAGAATAATAAACTACAATATATTGTTGAAGCATATCTGGCATGGGATAGTATTAGAAATGTTTGCTTAATCTATAAAGCAGATTAAAAAGTATGAACAATTTGATCCTATTTGAAATAAAAAATATTATGCTGAATTTTTGGGGCCTGAACAGCCTTAAATGGACAAAAGTATCCGAAATGTGTGAAAACAAAGATATGGGCTTCTGCCAGGAGCTGTGTGTACTGTTTGTCTTCACTCAGCCAGCCCAGCTTCCTATCTTCACTTTGGGCTGTTCTTTTCTGTGCTCCTCGGACACCTGTATTCCAGACTTCTCCCTTTGCTCTCTGGGCCCTTTGTCCAAGATGGGCAGCAGGATGCTCATCATGTAGTCATGTCTTGGAGCACCTCCTTGGCAGGTAGCGTTGAATATTGCCCATAATGCTTGCCAATTTCTGATATCACTTGCTGGTTGGTAATCATCTTTTCTTCCTCTTCCTTCCTTCACATTGCTTCAAGTGGCAAATTCCTTCAAATTACTCAGGATGCCCCTGAGGGAAAGCATGAACTGGAGGCTACTAGTTCAGGGTTTTTGGCTGCTTGGGGCTCTACTTGCTTACCCTGAGAGCTGAGGGGATTAAAATCTAGCAGCACACCTGGGATGCTCTGCCCTAGGAGGATCCATTCAACCTGGGTTAAGAATCTATGAAATAGAGATTCTTGAACTCTTGAAAAGAGTTTAGAAAATGGAAAAGGTTAAGTATTAACTACTGTCAATACTATTTTAACATAACAGTGAAGAGAAACTACACTCTTTAGGATGCTCACTATTTCTTTTGATTCATATATGTATATTTATATCTATCTATCTATCTTTATATTTATGTTCTCTGAATCAAGAGCAGTAGCATCCTAGACAGGCAGTGTAGTTTCTCATTGTTATGTTAAAATAGTAATTATCTTTCTTATCAGAAGCATTGGTTAGGCTCCTATGGCTATGTTTTAGAACTGTGGTTTGCATGAAATCAATTTAGTGGGCCATGATTAGTGTTTTTAACAAAAATTGAAATAAATAGAATAGAATAGAAAATAAAATGTAATACATGTGTAAGGGTAAACACTGCTTCTTGAAAATTTTGTTTCAGTTTTATGTGTTTGTGTGTATGTATTCCCTATACCTGTGTGCTTGGTTGCAATATAAAATGTACAATGAGTTTGAAGTAAAAAAAAAGTTTCAGAAATGGTGTCTTTATAAGGTAAACAAGGTATTCTAGTAGAGACAATGATGCTGAATTTAGTAGTATTTATGCAAGGTTGAATTTTATGAGATCTCCAGTTTTGGATACAAAGAATCTATTCTTGAATAACTGCCATGAAGGGGTTAACACTGCCACTCAAGGCAACCTTCCCCATTTTTATTCACATTGCTTGGAAGCTTTTTCTTATATTGAGCTGATATTAATCCTATTTTCTAGTAACATTCATTTACTGGTGTCAGCGATAAGCACTATTTTTAGGGCAGCACCATTCTTCTGATAGCCCTTCAGACATTTGAAGGACAGCTTTCGTTCAGGTACAGTGTCAGTGTCCAGGTATAGTGTATAGTGTCTCCAAATGAATATTTTCCCTCTCTGTGGGCTAAAAATTCCTTTATCTGTTTTTCATGTGGTGTAGCTTTGAGTCCCTCTCCAAATATATTCACATCTAATCTAATCGTGCTTCAGTTTATCAGTGGTCTTCCTAAAACATGGTGTCTGAATGTAATTCTCGTAGTGTGATCTTATAGCCTTACCATCTCACTTATTCTAGATTAAGGCTCAGCAAACTATGTCCTGCAGGTCAAATCCAGCTTGCCTCATTTTTTTGGTCAAGTTTTATTGGAACACAGCAATGCCCATTCATTTACGTTATGTTTATGGCTGCATTTTTGCTACGGTGACAGAGTTGAGTAGTTAAATAATTCCAATTAAATACATTTCGAAAACACTTTGTATGATATCCCCTTCTTGAACATTCACAGTGCATGTAGAATACTAAAGGTTTTAAGAAGTCATGAATAAACTAACCTAAGTGGTGTTTCCCATACATATTGTGTGTGTATGTGTGTGTGTGTTTGTGCACTGTGCACCTCTGTGTGCATGTGCAGAGTATCTATTAACTAACATTTCTTGGTGTTCTAAGGGACATAATAGGAAATGCTGAGTTAAGGGAATGCTTTAAAAATGTAACTTATTGGTGGAAGGGTAGAAAGCCTCTATTAAAGAAAGCTTTGGAAGTTACTATTGCTCATGTTTAATAATGTCTGAGATGGTGAGGAAATTACTATGCTATGTCCTTAAATTTTTTTTATGTCAATTGAGTCTTCAAGAGTGGATACCAAAAAAAGTGATGCCAGTTCCTTTAAATTATGTACTCTAGATAATTTTAAGGCTTGTTCACGTAGTTTTGACTGTCTGATGGAGAAACTAATTTAGAAAAATGGGAATATGGAAGTGTTAGGAACTGTTAAGAATTAATGATCCAAAAAGAGTTAAGATAAAACATTTTCTTAAAGTAGGATAATAAATAGGGAAGAATTGACTTGAGTTAAAAAGTTTAATTTATACTCAAGTTTTCCAGTAATACATTGGTGAAGTAAGGAATATCTATGATAAAATTTGTTCTTTCTACACGTAGTAGAGATGGTAAGGTTCTTTGTGTATTATTTTTTCTTTCATTTTTTTCTCTTTTCTTTCCAAAATTAAAGTGCGATCTTTAGTTGTTATAGTATCTTAGTTTGGAATATTCCAAACTGAAGATATCTTGTAGTTAATTTTTCTTTTCATTGTTCAAAAGGTCATGCAAATGTTCAGTAGAGAAGCTGATATAATTTAAACCCAAGAGAAATGTAGTGGAATACTGAAACTATCTGAATACCTATCCTTAGTCTTTTCATTTTAAATTTTGATCTTATCCAACTGTTGTCTAAATGTTTGTTTTTTATAAGTTTAAATTGTCTTCTCTCCACAGAATCAAGTGACGGATACTAATAGAAAACTACAACATGAGGGAAAGGAAGTAAGGCCAGTTTACCTTTTGAAAAACCTTTTCTGTTCTCTTTTGTTGATTGTGTTCTTGATTTAGCGGCTTTTAAGACCATAAGCAGTATGTTGGAGGAACTTGGACATTATTGTTGCTTCTGAATTAAATGAATATAGCTACTAGAAAGCTTAATGAGAGAGGATGTACCCTTCCTTAGCTGTGTTTTTACATTATTTGAGTAGTCGTAATACGGCCTTTGCTGTTCCTCTGCCTAAAATGCTCTTTATCCAATATTTACCTACTTCCGACTTTTGATGAAACGTTACTTCCTTAATGAGGCCTTTCTAACCACCTTATTTGAAATCACAGCCTCATTCTCACCCCCTGTATTCTTTTTACCTTTTCTGCTTTGTTTTTCTCCGTTGCACCTATCATGCTCTGATATTATAGATTTTTACTTATATGTTTGTTTTTTGTCTGTTTCTTTCATTAGAAGTTAAGCTCCATGAGGTCAGGAATTTTTATTTGTTTTATTCATTGCCTTCCTTATTCCCTCAACCTGCCTAAACAGTGACTGGCACAATGTGGGTGCTCCATAAATATTTGTTAAAAAACGGAATCATTGCTTCTATTAATTGATATATTCACCATTTAAATCATCACAGTTTACAAGATTGCTTTACATCCATTTTCTTGCTTGATCCTCATGGCAGATCTATGACAAAGTCAGGACAGGTATTATCACTATTTTATTGATGTGGAAACTGAAACAGATGATTTGCTAAAGTTCACATAGTAATTGGCAAGGCTGGGACCAAAACTCAGGTTTTCTGACTTGTAGTCCACTGCTGTTCTCTGTATCATATACCTTCCTTACCGCCTAATACTTATTTAATGTTTAATTTTAATAATCTTCAAGATTAGCTTTTGATTATTTTGTCAGTGACTTAATCAGGGCCATTCTCTTTTGTTCTTTTTTCCATGGTATCTAAGCAGATAACATTTTTTGGGTATCGGTATGGGATGAATACTACAAGAGGCTATGTAGATTACTGCTTTTTAAAAGTTTGTCTCACATATTTTAAATTATGCAGAGAGTGCAGTTTCTTCTAGTTATATTGTGGTATGACTTCAGATGGAAGCCTTTAAAACAGCAATGGGAAGAAAAGTAAGTTACTCTTTACTAACCTGAAACTCCTGGAAAAGCCGCAACTTCTAAGTGTGTGGTTTATTTGTTGAAATAGAAATTTAGTTGATTATTTTCAAGACTCATTTGAAGCTGTATAGAAAGGACAGTTTTCCTCTAGCTGAGTCTAGTACTGATGAAAGAAATAAGGATCTTCTTAGAAGATTGATAAAACCATAAATCATGAAGAGTCTGAATAGGGTTTGGAGAAAATCTGCGTATTTTTTCCTTTCTCCTGGATAGCCCCTGACTTTTTGGATTTCATTTTACCTAGGCTTTCCTAGTATAGTATATATTTTGGGGAGAAAGTGTGGAAACCATGCAGGAATGTTTTACTGGTTGAGAAAGGCAGTTCCTTAGTCTACTTGGCAGGTCTTACTATGAAACTGTCTGGGATTTTCTGATGAATAGAACACAGGGTGGAAAAATGTGACTGAAAGCTTTTTATTTACAGCTATTGGCATAATTCAATTTTTTTCCCTCTTGCCAAGCTGGTAATAGCAATGGAAGAGCTGAAGCAGTGTCGACTACAACAGAGAAATATTTCTGCCACTGTTGATAAATTAATGCTGTGTCTTCCAGGTGAGCAACTGGAAAAGGAGCAGGATTCTTGATGCAATTTCTTTAGCTGTAATTAGTCTTTCACTTTCTCTAAATAATGCTTGTGTGCTCTTTTTTCCCTTCTCTTTCAAGTCCTGGAGATGTATAGCAAACTGAGGGACCAGATGAAAACTAAAAGGTAAGATTTTTTCATTGAATACTTTTTATTATCTAAAATTTATGTTACGGGCTGGCCCCGTGGCTTAGCGGTTAAGTGCGCGCGCTCCGCTGCTGGCGGCCCAGGTTCGGATCCCGGGCGCGCACCGACGTGCCGCTTCTCTGGCCATGCTGAGGCCATGTCCCACATACAGCAACTAGAAGGATGTGCAGCTATGACATACAGCTATCTGCTGGGGCTTTGGGGGAAAAAAAAATAAATAAAATTTATGTTAGACTATTTTTAAGGTCTGTCTTTAGCATAACCTTTCAAAAAATAAAGTCCAGATAACATCTTCTCTAGCCTTTTGTATATCTATTGATTCATCTTAGACTTATTTACATATATTAGTGGAACGCTGATGTATTATGTCATATATTATGTTTAATAAAAAACACTACTCATAGTTTGATTTTTAGAAGACTCAACCTTTTAGGGAAAAAGCATATAACTGTTTTACTGATAGTTGATTTGAGAAACATGCTTTGGTTTAGTGTTGTAGTAAAAAAAAATAGTTACTGGTTTTGGTACAGGGATGAATTAGTCAGGGTTCTCCATTGAAACAGAACCAGTAGGGTGTGTGTGTGTGCGTGTATAGAGAGAGAGATAATGATTTATTTTAGGGAATTGGCTCATGCAGTTATGGAGGCTGACAAGTCCAAATCTGCAGAGTAGGCTGGTGTGCTAGAGTGTCAGGGAAGAGTAAATATTGTAGCCTGAGTTTGAAGGCAGTCTGCTGGCAAAATTCCCTCTTTCTCAGGGGAGGACAGTCTTTTTTCTATTAAGGCCTTCAACTGATTGAATGAAGCACACCTACATTATGAAGAGTAATCTTCTTTACTCAAAGTCTACTGATTTAAGTGTTAATAATCTCCTCTAAGAAATACCCTCACAGAAATATCTAGAATAATATTTGACCAAATATCTGCATACCATGGCCTAGCCAAGTTGACACATAAAGTTAACCAGCACAATTAACCAGGGCAAGGTCAAGGTTAAGTTCAGAGGATTTCTCTCCTATGAGTTGTTCTGATTTTATTCCAGAGGAAACCCTATAGGGACTCTTTGGCTCTTCTTCCCAAACTTGAGTAAGCATCCCCACCCTCTCTGACCTGGGGTACCCTGCAGTACGATATGTGGGGGGGTAGGGTGGGGGGTATGTGAAGCTGTAGGATAAACAGTACACATCTTCCTGGAATGTTAATTTTATCTAGGTTTTGAGGGAAGAAGTATGGAATTAAAATGTATTTAATATTGAAATAAGAATACCAATATTGTGAATAAAAATTCTAAATTCTCAAGAATTTTAAAGCTAAAGCATGAGGCATCAAAATTTTTTGAATTTTTTAAGATTGTTTCCCAGATTCCCTTCTTCTCCCCAAGAGGACATGTTCACGTAAGAGAACATAGGTAGAACAATATGAGAAGTTCTGTTCAATGAGATATGAAAGTAGTATTGTTTCCCTGATAACCTTTTTGTAAAGTTCTAAAATTATAGAAGATTACAGAGAATAAAAAAACTCTTGTGTACCAACTTCTCTGAATTAAGGGATATTAACAATTTTCCAGTTTTGATTCATATATATATATGTAAATATATATAGCATATATAGAAACATATGTATAAACAGAGAGATAAAGGTACACATTTTTAAAAATTACAGGTAAAACTTACATCCTCTTCCTCAGTCCTGTTCCTTTTCCCTATTCCCCTGAGGAAGCCAGTATCATAAATTTAGTGAGTGGCCTTCTAGTCCATGTTTTTAATATCTATAAATATATATTTATTATTCTGTGTTTTTAAAAACATTTTCATGAATGTTCTCAGTCCTTGAGTTTTTGAGATTCATTTGTTCATTCAACAAAAATGAATTGAGTACCTACTAAATGCTAGGCATTGCTCTTGTCTGAACAAAACAGACAAAAATATCTGCTCTTGTGGAGCTTACATACTAGTGGAGAGCTTATTTTCTTTGTGTATATAGATCTAGTTCACTTACTCTAATTCTAGAGTAGTCCATTATATGAATAATCCACATTTCCCCCTCTCAATTTCAGTGGTTGTTATAAGTACTGTTTACCAATATTTCTAGCTCAGCCTTCTTCTGGCACATAGTAAGATTACATTTTCTGGGCTCTCTTGGGCTACTTGACTGATTCTGGCTGATAAGATGTGAGCAGAAGTGATGGGTGTTACTTTTGGGTTTAGCAGTGAATTTCCAGTGTAAGTCCCTCCAGAGTTCTGTTTTGCCTTGGTCATGACAAATGGTAACTTTCAAAATGGTGGTTGAATCCCTGAGTAACTGCAATGAGCAGAGTTTCCCTGCCAACCTGTTATATATGTATAACATGCGTAAGTTATAAATCTTTGTTTTAAGCCACTGAGATTTTGGGGATTGTTGTTACTGCAGCATAGCTATCCTGACTGATACTATGAGGGACATTTGGTATGTTTCCAGTTGTTTGCTATGCAGGCAATGTTGCAATAAATATCCTTGTTGATGTCTCTTTGGGTTTCTTGAGAACAGTGCTCTTCAAATGTTGCTGTATATACAAATCACATGGGGTTTGTTAAAAGTAGATTCTGATTTGGTAGGTCCAGGGTCATTCCTGAGATTCTGCATTTTCTACCAAGCTCCTAGGTATGCCGGTTCTGCTAGTCTAGGATTTATTTATTTATTTTTTTTGTTTGCGGAAGGTTGGCCTTGAGCCAACATCTGTTGCTAATCTTCCTCCTTTTTCCCTTTTTTCCTCTCCAAAGCCCCAGTAGATAGTTGTATGTCGTAGCTGTACAATCCTTCTAGTTGCTCCATGTGGGACGCCACCTCAGCATGGCTGATGAGCAGTGCGCAGGTCCACGCCCAGGATCCGAACTGGCGAACCCCGGCCGCTGCCAAAGGGGAGCGCACAAACCCAACCTCCATGCCACTGGGCTGGCCCCTAGTCTAGGATTTATACCTAGGAGATCAGCTGGATCAAAGAAAGGGATGCATGTCTTTGATCTTTTAGATGTTGCTTTCCAAAATGGTTTACCAATGTAGACTCTCACCAGCATTTTATGGGAGGTCCTATTACTTCACCTCTTGGTAACATCAAACTCTTTTGTTTTTGCTGGTCTGATGATTGTGAAATGATAGATCATTGTTCTGGTTTTTCATTTCTTTGATTACTGGTGAGATTGGTTTTTGGACGTTTGGATTTTCTTCCATATATTTTGCCTATTTTTCTTTTAGGTTGTTTGTTGTTTTCTTTTTTCATTTATAGGAATTCATTATATACTTCAGATACCTGTTCCTGTTACATTCTGCAAATATTTTCTTCCAATGTATGGCTTATCTATTAACTTTGTACAGTTTGTATTTTTTGTTGTATAGTTGTTGTAAATTTTGTTATAATCAAATTTATTTTGTGGTCTTTAAAAAATTTTATTTTTAAACATTCTCAAGTTTAGTATAAATGTGTCTTTTTCCTGAACCAATAAAAAGTAAGTTGTTAACATGATGCCCTGTCATCCCCATACACTTTAGTGTGATTTCCTACGAATAAAAACATTCTCCTTTGTAGCTGCAATGCAACAGAGAACAGAAATTAACATTGGTAGATTAGTAGCATCTAATCCTCATACCCTTCAAATTTTGCCAGTTGTCTCAATCATGTTCTTTATAGCAAAAGAATACAGTTTAAATCATGTGCTGCATTTAGACGTCATGTCTCTTTAGTCTTCTTCAACCTGGAACTGTCCTCAGTCTTTCCTTGACTTTCATGACTTTGTCACTTTTGAAGATTACAGGCCAGTTATTATGTAGAATGCCCCTCAGTTTGGGTTTGTTTGATATTTCCTAATGATTAGATTCACATTATATGTCTTTGGCTGGAATATCACAGAGGTGTGCTGTGTTCTCTTTGCACCCTATCAGGTGGCATGTAAATTTGATTTGTCCTATCACTGATGATGTTACTGGGTTAAGATGGTGTCTGCCAGATTTTTCCATTGTAAAGTTAATCTTTTTTCCCTTTGTAATTAAAAATTTTGTGGGGAGGTATTTTATAGTTGTGTAAATTCATTATTTTTCATCAAACTTTCAACTTATTTGTTTTTTTATGTCAGTTATGGACTCATGGTTTCTTATTTTATTTGATGGGTCATAATCCATTAATGTTATTTATTTTGTTGCTCAAATTACCCTGAATGGCACCAGAGGAGCCCCTTCAATTTGGCTTCTGTGTCCTTTTAACATGTCCCCATGATTGAGTACTTTTTTACTAGCCAAAGGAGATATGTTACGGGCTCATCTTGTAATTTTCCTGCTGAAGCCCTGGAATCAGCAATCTCTCTAAGAAACCCTGGTTCTTTTCGGTAGGGTTGTGTTATTTAGAAGCCAAGATCTAGAATGCCAACAGCACACACTGAGTCGCCCTCCTATATGGTATCCTCCTTATTCCACTTGGCACTTTAATATTCTCTGGCACTCTTCTGTCCTGCCTGAATGCCCTCGTCATCCCTTTTTGGCTCTGACACTTCATGCCAAGCTGCCTTCCTATAGGCCATCTTCCTTACCTCACTAGGTCCCTCGTACTCCATGCTGGCCAGTTCTCCTCCCCGGAAATCAATATGGATGCTTTCATTCATTTAGGTCTTCTTTAATTTTTTTTAGCAATGTTTGTAGTTTTCACTGAACAGGTCTTACATATCTTTTGTCATATTCCTAAATGTTTCATATTTTTTGATGCTTAAGTGCTATTGATTTTTAGATTTCAATTTCCAGTCATTTATTACTAGTATACTATTAATTTTTGTATATTTATCTTGTATTCTGCAACCTTACTAAAGTTACTTTCTAATTCTAATAGCTTTTTTGTATATTCCATTGGATTATCTATGTAGATGATCATCTTGTCTGCAAATAAAGACAGTTATATTTCTGTCTTTCCAGTTGGGATGCTTTCTTTTTTGGTTTGTTTTTCTTGTCTTATCGAGCTGG